CTAATTGTCCAAATCTTCGTGGCCTTCATGAGCGGGCCAATGGTGGTGGTTAACCTGAACCGTTCAAGGATGTCCATCACCAAGAACGGGTACGGGAGGAGGTGGTCGTGCTCGGTGGACGCAGCAATCGTCATGTTGATCATGACAAACTTTGCCCAATTGATTGGGGCCGAGTGCATGATTGCGTGCATGAGTTTGAGGTCTTCACCGTGCATGATGGTGTGGCCGTGCTTCCTAGGTTTGAGGATTCGGGTGACGATGTAGAGGACCAGGCGGCCTTCGGGTCTGGCGGAGTGGATGGTTGGGCGGCCTGAGGCATGGCGTTTAAGCTCGGTGATGCCAAGCTCGTTGAGAATAAGGCCCTCATTGTTGAGCACCCAATCCTCTCCACCATAGTGTGACACATCGTCGCCTTGGAAGGGGAGGCCGGCGATGCGTCCAAGCCGCTCCACGGTGAGCTCGATCGGCGTGCTCTTGACAAGCGAGTAGAGCACGTTGTCCTCACGGCGGAGGTTGGAGTAGAAGGCCCGAATCAGCGCCGGGTTGATCTCCTTGCGTGCCCGGGAGACAAACGGCCAAAGGCCGGATTGATGAAGCTGCGCGTCGAGATCGTCGTAGCCCTGCAACTCAGGGTAACGCTCAGGGATGATTCGTGGGGGAGCCACAACCCGTTTAGAGAAGAAGGTGAGAAAACGGGTGCGCTCCTCCTCGGAATCGAACCAGAGATACGTCCCGTCGCCGTAGTCAATGCGATCCTCGGGATTGGTTACCGGTGCCCGGGATTTGGCCTTGGATTTTCCGGAAGCTCCTGCCCTGTTCTTATCTTTGGCCATGGTGATGAAGAAATCTCAAAAAGAATATTAGAGAGGATAAAATATGCAAGGAGATTGAAGAAGTTTGTGTTTGTGTGTAAAAATGAGAAGAGGGGGTCCAAATATATAGGAGAGAGGGTGGCCAACGTTCAAAAATTTGAAAAAAGAGCTGTTGGAGCAATTAAAGCAGGTGCAACGGATATTTTTTTTGAAAAATTTGACCAGAACAGCGATGTTCTAGAGGCGACATCGCTGTTGGGACAGCGCTGTTGTTCCTTGTACAGCGGTGTTCTGCGTCAAGTTTTAAAAAAGCAAGAGTAAAACAGACAGCGATGTTGAGTGCCCTACAGCGATGTTTCAAAAGTTTCTAGAATGGTGAAAGGGTTTGAACCCATTTGAACAGCGCTGTTGGGTTTCTCTACATCGCTGTTTTACGAAAAAAAA